ATTATGTATATCAAATGTTTTCCTTTAAAAGCCCTGACTACCATGGCTGGGGATGTAGTTCAGCGTCAGTGCAGGTCCTAGGCCTCATCACTAGTAACACTACCACAAATGCATGAGCGAAGGAAGAGAGAAGGGAGGAGGGAGAAAAAGTAAAAGGTCTCAGTATTTCCCTCCCTTGTCCTTCATACTCTATAGTGGTATTTGGGTAAAAAACAAAACAAAACAAAAAAACCTCAGTTCCCAGAGCCACCAGTGTAGAATAAGCCACTACAGCACTTGGCAGTGCTCAGGTGACAAAACCAGGAACAGAAGCTATGGGTAACATTAAACTGGCACTTATTAAACATGGAATGTAAAACAATGACAATGCCACTTGAAAAAACTAGAAACAAGTAGCTTCTACTACCATTTTCTTCTCCTTATTCTTAAAAGCAACTCTACTTACAGGAGCCTCCCAAGTACAAGGCATGGTCTTAAGCATGATGCCTGGACAGCTAGTGACAGTGAGACCTGCATGGGGCCCTCTGTACACACCAGAGAAACCAAAGCTCGGTGGAGATCAAGGGGAGGGGCTGAGAGAAAAGCCAGCTTTGAACGTCTGTCACATTTGATGCAACACATTGAGCCCCCCAGTTTTACTTTTCATGATAATGACAATAAAAGGGACATTTCCAAGTTATAAATGACAGGCCCCATTTGTCAGTTTCCAGGCCACAAGCCAGGTCCTGACAGGAACTGGGAGAAACTAAGGAAGTAGCTGAAATTTTCCCGGAGGTAACAAACCGATTTTCAGGTGGGGTAAAAATAAGGCACAATGGTGCAGGAAAGGTACACAGTACGCAAACAGATGCAGTTGGGCATGTGCAGAAGTACCACCAATCATAAGCACGGTTCCGACCACTTCATTTCCTGGATCAGCTGTGGTTCCGCCTTTGACATGAATGGAAACTGACTGACCTCCGCTAAGTTTGATCTCTGCATGGTATCTGGAGACTTCCCTTAAGTCACACAACAAGACATATCAGCTCAGTGTCCCTCATGGCTCCCACAGGATCTCAGCAGACACTTTTTTCTAATTGTGATATTTTCCTCATTCAAATATTAGTGCCACAGAGAGACTGTATATATTTTTATGTATTTTATGTCTTTTATACATAAAAAGTTTAAGGGGCTTTTCATCCTCCAATAAAATCTAGGTTCACCTTTGCGGGAAGGCAAGCATGCCCTGGTTAAGAACAAGTAGTTTAGCTTATGAAACCAGACACTGGTAGATCCAAGAACGTAACACTAAGTTATAAGTTAATACACAAACAACTGTTACCATGAGGATTTGTAAGCTCTTCCTAGTACAACCTTTTTTTTTTTCTTCTGTATTTAGGGCAGGGTCTACAGGGTCTCACTACACAGATCGGACTCTTAGTGATCCTCCTGTGTTCAGCCTCCCAAGAGTTGGGATTACAGGTGTGCGCCACCATGCCCAGTCTCAATCTCCATCTCAGCGTGCCCCAGGCACAGGGCCGGCATGGCACACCAGGGATTGAACCAGCCGCTGTGCTCTGCTTAAGCAAGTGCTTCAGTCTGCTGAGCTATCTGGCTGGCCCTTGTTAGTTCAACCTTTTCTAGTGTAACACCACATGACATTTCCATCCATTATGGTCTCCGTACGTAACAGATTTAAAACGTAGCTGCGAATTCCCACTGCCTAGTATTGTCTTGGCATGATGCATGAATCACATGTTTGGAGTGACACTAGTGTCAGCAAACCTACTGCACTGCCAGTCCCATCAAGTGCAGCAAACACAATTACATACAGTACATGATACTTGAAAATGACAATAAATGACTATGTTACTGGCTTATGTATTTATTCTGTTATCATTTTTATTATTATTTTAGAGTGTACTCCTACTTACTAAAGAAAGTTTTCCATAGAGTAGTAGGCCATGTTTCTTAGGCAGCAGCCTCCTACAGGTTGTGTCTACTGTGCATCTTGATTGATTAGGAGGCTAGGCTGAGGGACTGGTCACACCACCTAGGTTTGTGGACATTTATTTTTGCAAATTATGAAACAATGAGTCACTTCTCAGAAAGGGTCCTCCTTGTTAATCCAAAAGTAACTATAGTAATTCACTTATAGCTGTAGTACTGTCATTTACCTTCCTTATTCTTAAACCCAAGATTAAATTTTAAAGACACTGAGTAGCTACTACATGCAAATAACCATTAATTTCAGATTATTATAAATTATTTTGCATGTAAAATAATAATACATAAACTATCTTCCATTCATCAGTAATTCCTAAATACTTACTACATAACCATCCAGGAGCTTACGTGTACTTTGGATCAAGTGCAGACAGTGGTACAGGGTTAGGACCAACACCATTCCATAGATATTATTTAGAAGGATATATTTAAAGGCAATAAGAAAAAAGTCTAAACTCTTAGATACAGTCATTACTTCCAGTTAGTCTCATTACAGTCTCACCATGCCAGAATCTAGGCAAAGGGAGCTCTGAGGCAAGGGCCTCACCTAGTTCTGCCAACAACTTCCCCTGTGATCTGGGTAAATTCTTTAACAACTCTGTGCTCAGATTTCTAATTGGCTAATATTACAAACCCACCCTCTGTAATGGAAAAACCACAAAACTTCCTGACAGGAAACCTGCCATCTAATTCCACCTTAGCCACTTATTCCTTGAATGATACAGCCCACAAATCCTCTCTCCTTAGGGCTTTTTCCCCCCTCTGTAAGACAGTGTAGGTCAGGGTCTTCTTAAACATGGATTTGAGATAATGCAAATATTTTGGTGGGTGGTAGTGGTGTCATTTGCCATGAGGGAGATCAACCTCAGGGCACTTCACATATTTTGTTTTATGCTAGCGACAAAGCAATGCTGCACTCTACACAGAAAAAAGCAAGCAAAGGGCAAAACAGCATGAAAAGCTCAGTGCACTTTTTTTGCCGTTTTAAAAGAACACTGTTTTAGTGTCTGTTATGGCTGGGACCTAAAATGTGCCACCCTGTGTCTCATGTGCTCAGGGTGGGCTTTTGGAAGGTGACCACAGTGTGGAGATGCTGCATTCATCTGTAGACTGATTAACCCATTCATAGTGAATGTGTGGTCAAGGCAGGGTCCTGGGGGTGTGGCCTGGAAGGGTGCACTCTTGTCCCTGGCTCTTCCCCTCTCTCTGTTCCCTGGCTACAATGGGGTGAGCAGCTCTCCTCCCCCAGGCCCTTCTGCCATGGAGTCAGTCAACCATGGACAGAAATCTCACAATCTGTGAGCTAAAGAAACCTCTCTTCCTTTAAGTTGTACTGGGTATTTTGCTGCAGCAATGAAAAAGATTACTAATATCTTGTCTAAAGTAGAAGGCCTAGGTAGAATATTTTAAGAAAATGCCTTTATCTATACTTCCAAAGTAATAGAAGTGAGTTCAGTGCAGCTTGTAAATTTATAGATCTCTAAGACTCCCAAGGATACCAAAATCTATAGACTCGGTATTTCCTTATTATATATGCATACCCCATACAGTTTGTCTCAATTACTTATAATGCCTAAAATAACACGAAGAGTTCTTACACTCTAGTGACTAAAGAATAATAAGAAGAAGAATGAAAAAGACCAAGTTGCAACATAAGTAGGTTTTGGAAACAGGGGAATGACATCATAGGTTAAAATTTCCTTATTCCTCCTAGATCTATCAGGCTTTGTTTTGATTATTCCAGCAACGAAATAAAATTTATTGTCTTTTCACTTCAATACAATGGACATACCAGATTCCCTTTCCCTGGGTGGAGGAAGGAGTGACTTACAACCTGGTGCTGATCTCACCTAACTCTGTGTCCACCAACAGTCAGGATGAAACAATCTGACCATGATCTCAGACTATGGCACAGGCTCACTGTAAAATAGTATTTTTCTCATTCCTTGCAGTGTTCACTTCAGACTGCAAACTTGTTGAGAGAGCTAACAGCTTACAAGCAGAGCCACTACGCAGGCAGCAGCTGCCGAGGACGGTGTTATGATCGCACTGTATTTCCTACAGGAAAGAGCTCAAATCCTCCCCGCCTACGATTCAGACCTCGAAGCCAGCTGCACTTGCTCGGTGAGATTCCCTGGATGACCCCAGAACGTATTACCCGTTATTCCTTATGCTATGCCTCCTCTCCTTTCACTACCCAAACCTTGACCACCCCACAAAGAACACTGTCAGGACCCACTCTGTGGGTTAATCTCGGCTGTCGGCTCAGTTGGGATTAGACACTCCTGGAGAGGTGACTGGCTTGTAAGGTCACAAACCCATGGTTAGACCTGCAGGTAAATGAGATAGAGGAGGTAGTGCCTTGTTGGACAAAGTGAGGCATGAGTGGGTGACTTTGGGGTCTGCCTACAACCGCCCCGGCCCCATCCTCTATGACCCTTTTCTCTGACTGCTTCCTGGTTGACACGAGCTGAGTAGCTTTGCTCCATCATGCCCTTCTACATTTGTGCCTTGAAAGGAGATGCTCCTGGACTGAAATCTCAGAACCCGCGCGCCAAATCCTCCTTTAAGTTGTGGATGTCAGGTGTTTAGTCCCAGTCATGAGAAAGCTGACCAGAGCAATACTCATGCCGAGCACAACAGCAGTATCTCTGATTCTGTGTACCTACTACCTTCAGCACTTGCCCCACACGGTTACCTGACATCTGAAAGGTGGACACTTGAACGGCACAGCTAGACTCTGTCCTGTCTCTTAATGACCGGGCAGACATCTTACAGGTAGTGCTTAAAGCCAAAGACAGTGCTAGGCATATGACAGGCTACCTCTACTAAATTAGCTATTAAACACATGCTTAAAATCCCCATGAAATGCTACTTAGGGCTCTTCCTTCAAATGATGGCTTGAGAACTAAGACAAATTTATAGATTAAATACAATCCTAATGGGTTCACATATATCCAAATAATTTAAAACTTAACAACAAATGGGGAAAATTAGAGACTCAGGTGACTTACCATTCTTCATCACTACATTGGACCAGACATTGGCATTCAAGGCTTGTACAATTCGCTTTACTCCTGTAGATTCAGGGAAGTCATCTAACAGGGAAAAAAATACATGTATACATATATACGAATATGCACACTTCTACACAACTACAATACATACACACCTATACCAACATATGCATACACACACTTGCCTGAAGCCATATTTTGTAATTACTGTGGCTTAATTATCTTGCTTATTAGTTGTTACCTCACACTGTAACTTGTATAATAATAATAATAAAAAATGGCAAATTCAGAGCTCAAAGGTCCTGATAGAAATATTCTACAAACTGAAATGATCACATAAACACGCAATATAAAAGGGATATATAATAAAGTCATTCCCGGTGCCTCACCATGGAATCCACTCCTATTCTCCTGAAAAATGTAAGTTTCTATTACACAATCCTGGCCTAGAACTAAAGATACTAATTTTGGTTATGTACAGAGTGAATTTCCTAAAGACAGCACAGAACTTTTTGTACATGATAACACATGGTAAATGTTCTATCTTCCACTAGAAACTGTTGAATAATTATTATCCATTTTAAAGATAGAGAAGACTTCTTTAATCAGAGAAGAGTTTAAGAGTGAATGACTGGTCTTATTCAAAATAAAAGGGCCATAATCCCAGGTAGCGTAGCAATAACACAAGATAGCCTTAGCTAGACATCAGCTATCACTATGTATGAAGAAAAGTTTCTTTAGAATTGAGGACTATGGCAGGAATCATTTGCATGTGGACAGAAGGAAGAGTTTGCAAACACAGTCCACACAGAACCCACCACTGGTGCCCTGATCCGAGGACACCTAACATGAAGATCACAGAATGAGAAGCAGAAGATCCAGCTCAAACACAGGCCTGTGACCTAGCTTATTTGATCAAGGACAAATCATTTATGTTACCCCTAAAGAAAAGCAGGGCTGGTACTATGCTGGGACACTTTCTAGAGGAAAAATGCTCTGGGATTGATGCTGTTCAGGTGTAACCTTAGCCCCAGATCAGGAAGCCCGAGACCAGAGGGTTGGCAGTGTGTCTTAGACAATCCACTATGACCACTGCCTAATGGGTGCCTGAAGGCAGCAGGCACAAGGCAACTGCTTTATGAGCCACTGATGTCTGAAGTTGTAGCAGCATGTTTTCCTTAACTACTAACTTGATTCTTGAAAGAATTATTCATATTTTAGAAGTTGTGGTGGACAACTGGTGGGCAACTTGTAACAACCAGCTGAACTGAATCAGTGTGGTGCTGGGCGTGGGAGGCCCACCTGAGGAGGGCTGCCAGCAGTGTGAAGGAAAACTGGATGGGAAGAAGCGTTGGTTCTCCTGTAGGAGCTTGTCATGCTGGCTTTCCTAATATGAACTCGGCTGTTCTTACCCTCAGAGGAGCTCAGGACCTTGTTGTCGCTGAGAATAACCATGTCACCTTTTAGGGGCGCTGTGGTCCTTACTTTGAGCATCGCTTCCTGGCTCCGTGAGGAAGACAGTACACCATTCAATGTCCTAGGTAAGCGTGTGGTGCTGGTTTTTTGGATATGAACTCAGTTGTTCTCATCATCAAAAGAGCATAGATTCTTGCTGTCACTGAGGATGGCTGCGGCTCTCTTCAGAGGAGCTTTGTTCTTGAGTATCACCTCCTGGGTCCAGTGCAGATCCCTTAGCCTGCTGCCACAGATCCTTCATCCCGCTTGCACAGATTTCCTAGTTCACCACTGACCTTTGGGCCTTCCCAGTGCAGATCCATGAAAGAGACTTGCATAGACATTGTCATGGGCTCTAGCACTTCCGCAGGACTGGTGGGGACATTGTCATGGGCTCTAGGACTTCCGCAGGACTGGTGAGGACATTGTTATGGGCTCTAGGACTTCTGCAGGACTGGTGGGGACACTGTCATGGGCTCTAGCACTTCCGCAGGACTGGTGGGGACATTGTCATGGGCTCTAGCACTTCCGCAGGACTGGTGGGGACATTGTTATGGGCTCTAAGTCTTCAGCTGCACTCATGTAGGATACTGCTGTGGGCTCCAGGCCCTCAGCTGGATTTTCTGGGTCTTTAGGGTATGGACAGATTTCCTGTACTCTTTTATACTTGACTCTGGGTGATTATTATAAAATAATCCTATAAATTATGTGTCCTATATTAAATTATTTCCCTTGCAAACTCTGACTACAATATATATTATACCCAGGAAACAAAAAATTGGTTCTGAAATGAAGAGTTAGAACCAGTAAGATAAAATTTAATACAAACAAGCACAAATCTCATGTGGGTGTTTGAATATAAATGTAAATAAAGGGTGAGGCAATGACTTGGAAATAATTTGTATTTAAAAATTCTAGGAAAGATCTGTGATCCTGCCTAAAGATGACATGTTTAAAATTTATTTGAAAATTAACTGAATGAATATAAGAACACTATTCACACTCAGGGTAAGAAGACAACTAGTGATGTAAAAGAATCAGAAATTTTCAATGGTAGGGCAAGTCAGAGAGCTTAGCGGATTAAAGCACCTCCTTAGGCAGATGCAGGGGCTGGGGGTTCAATCCCCGGTGTGCTGTGCTGGCCCTGCCCCTGGGACACACCAAGACAGCCACTGACACTGAGCATGGTGGTGCGTACCTATAATCCCAGTGCTTGGGAGGCTGAAAACAGGAGGATCACTATGAGTCCGATCTCTGTAGACCCTATACTAAATACATTTTTAAAAAAAAATTCTCAATGTTAACAGTCTAATACTGACTCCCAAGGACAATAGGAAGCAGGTTCTAGTGCCAGAGATAAGCAATTACACATACTCTTCATATGTATAAAGTCAGTTACAAGTTTTAAGGGAGTTTTAAAAAATACGTAAAAGGGAAAACTCCTTATTCATCTTCAATATTCTTAAAAATGTACATGAATAAAAATCTGGGGTATTTCATTTTTGTTTTCATCTCTGGCCAGATTTTATTATTAAACGTAACAGCATTTTGGAAAAAGTCTACGCCAGAATATAGGAAGATAATTTTTTTTAAAACGTTGCATGTAATGACTGATCATATCTGATGTACACACTTTAACTCACTAACTCACATCAGTTGCCCTTGCCTGGAGTGCAGTCTGGAACAACTGGTGTCTTATCAAAGCCACCTCCCCAGTGGTCCTCTACAGAGCCAGCGCCTTTCCCGCTTCCTCCCAGAGTGGCTGATCTATAGTTCACAGTATGCACCAACCAGCCTCTGCATTTCTAAACTGAAATACATGGTTCCTCAGTGCTCTCTGTGAACTGGTTCCAGGAGACACAATAAGCACCAAACAACATGTTTTGGCTGGAACGGGCAGCGAGGCACAAGAGAACAGACCCTACAAATTCTAGCTAGAATGTCGAGTATTAAATTAACAATAAATACTGGAATACAATTCTTGCAGAGAAATGTTTGGAGTACCAAACTTGATGTGTTTCAAATCAGTCTAGTACTAAGGTACAACAGTAATCTCTCCTGGGCTGTCCATCTTTTCCAGGAGATCCCATATGGAAAAAGAATTAGGGAATCGGAAACAAAATTTTAATTGAAAAACAAAAGCAAGAAACAGGAGGTCTAAACAATAGCAAAAAACAAGTAATGAGCAGCTATGCAGGAATAGAAGGATATTCTGGGTGTGTAAGCTTCAAGTGCTCTGAACATACACAAATAGGTCTGACATGGCCCCTGAAGTTTCTACAATTTACTATGAATTCAAAGGACAGCACTTCCGCCTATAAAGTAAGTCTAGCCTTCCTTGCTTGGCAACAGGGAAAGGATAAGGAATTAGAGAAAGGACAATTATTTTTAGATTGAAATATTTTACTGTCATCCATTGAAAAAGCATTTTTCCACTCCTAAAATGGGTGGTAAAACCGGATCAATGGATCATTACATTACTGGCAAGCTCTATCAGTGGATTTTGCTCAAATCCTGTCAAACAGCTGGAAACAATAACGTTTCTTGACTTTCCCTTCGCTCTTCTCGCCCGAACTCCAAATCTCTCGGCTTAACGCAGAGGCCACGTTTCTCAGTCAACCACCCACACTCACCGTCCTCCTCCGGCAGCTCCTCTGGACTGAGCTCCACCAGCTCAAAGCCGTGTTTGATGCACCACTCTTGAGCCTCCTGTCGGCTTACGCCTAAAGCAACACGCAAAACGGTCTTTGTAAGCAGAAACGAAACATGACCACTCTGTGATACTGTCCACGAATCTCAACGCTTTTCCCTGAATGGCAAGGTCATTCTAATAGCATTTAGAATAAAGCAACAAAAAGAAAATGACTTTTTAGCCCCAAAGTATCCATTCTTCAAAATAGGGTTAAGATTCCCAAAGTAGTAGAGGAGACAGCGCAGCAGCATAAGCACCTGCCTGTCAAGCACGAGGCTCTGACTTTGAGCCCTGGTACTAAAAAAAAAAAAAAAAGATTCTCAAAGTAGCTGAAAATATTTGTAAAGTGACAAGGACACAGATACTGCTTTAAGACAACACATGCACTCTGTCTCCTAAACACAGCCAACACACTCCCATGACACCCTGTCCTCAGTCTTACCTTCTTCACACACCCTGTCACAGGCCAGGATCATCACCTCTGGGACCCACGCTTCTGCCAGGGGAAGCCAGGAAGACACACTATCGAGACCTGATTTCTATGGGGACCAAGGCCAAACAGAAAAAAAGATGTTAAGAAAGCTCACAGAAAATTCAGAAAAAAAGAGTCCATGTGATCATCTCTTACTCAACTCCATGGAAAACTAAGTCTTACTTGTGAGCTGTCAAAGTAAATGACAAATGCCTGGACAGAGTCTGCAATTTCTGGGGTGACGAGGAATTTGTTTGGCACCACACACAGGTTGATATCTGCTGAGTAGTATTTATTATCAATGGTCCAGGGGTAGAATCTCACAGCATCGTTGGAAGTCACTTCCACAAGAAGATCCTCTCTTCCAAGGATATCTAAATAAACAACATGACATTACCAGAGGAAGTATAAAACCAATACTGAGTTTCTCAATAAAATACCAGACTAATCTGGTACCGTGGCTGCTTTCCTGTACGCAAGGATTCCCAAGGACCCTGCATTTATTAGGGTACTTTCTTCTCTGATTATCAGCAATAACATAATTTAAGTCACTGGCTCTTTTTCCCCTTAAAAACACAAAAGCTGTGTGTAGGTTAGACAGTAGTAGAGAAAACTGGTCATGTTTTCTCAAAAAATGCTGACTAGAAGCAACAAAATGGCAGATGCTTCATTCTTTTGGTCAAGCACTTCACAGGAGGTGGAAGATTATAAGAATATTCAAGAATTACTAATTATTTTGTACTTATTTCATCCTAAAACAAAGGCAAGATTAAGGCAAATCACAGGAATAGGCAAAATAGGATTAATCAAACAGAGCAGTCACAGACATTACTCAAGCTAACTGCTTAGACATTAATTCAATTAATGAAACTGAAGAACAGATACTGATAAATGACCCCAATTCCATTTATATTCAGAGTTGTTCAGTCTTTGAAAGCCAACCCAAATTCCTGCTGGACTGAGACACCACTGGCAAATCAATGTTAAATGTACAAAAGCCAAGCAAATTAAATGTTCTGGGTTACAGCTAAAGCCCTTAGAAACCCACATGCACTATGGGGCTAGCAGGAAACATTCACAATAGCAGACAAGTGAATAGATGTTGCCCTTGTATGACTGTTCCTTCAGTCATACAAGGCTTAGAACCTAAAGAAACATCAGAAATTGCTCTAGCCCCAGCTCCCACCTCTTGCACCCACACCTAGAATGTCCATTTCATACAGACATGGAAAGTAAGCTTAGAGAAGAAAATGGTAAGTCATTAATGAAATTATCAGAAGAATACAGAAAAGTGGTCAAAACCTCCTTTTCAGTGCATTTAAAGACAAATGTGTAAAATACGCCTCGAATTCCTAATCTACAGTACACTGAAAACTAGGAGTTGAATGTTAAATTCCAAAACTAAGATTACACTGTACATTTGGAAAGCTACCATCATTTCTGCTTGGCAGAGATATGGGGAAATTATTTAGTCCAGAAAACTGCTAAGAATAATGCAGGTATAACATACAAAGTCTGGAGCTGGGGCGGTAACTCAGTGGCATAAACACCTGCTTGGCAAGTGTAAGGTCCTGAGGTTGATCCCTGGTATCAAAAAACCACACACACTCACAAAAAACAAACAAACAAAACAAAACAAAAAACCCCAAAATCTGAATGTGTGAGTTCATTACTGAAAAATAAAAAACCGAAATGCCCTCTTTTAACAAAAAATACACTTAAAATAACTTTGAAATTTTATGTTTGATTTAAGGGCATGCCATGAAATAAATGTTTTCAAAATTTTTAACAAAACAAAAATTGTTACTTTAAAAAATTTTTTTTTTTCTTTTCTTCTTTTGTATTTTAGGACAGGGTGTACAGGGTCTACAGGGTCTCACTCTGTAGAATGGACTCATACTGTTTTCAGCCTCTGAAGAACTGAGATTACAGGCGCATGCCACCACGCCCAGTCTCAATTGTGGTCTCAGTGCATCCAGGGGGCAGGGCTGGCACTGCCCACCCCTGCATCTGCCTAAGCAGGTGCTTTACTCCACTGAGCTATTTGGCCAGCCCAAGAATTGTTACTCTTAAATGAACAGGTCTGTGCTGAAACTCTTGATCTCTTATCCTCACTTTTTATAAGTTCTTTCGGCTTAATTTCTATGCAAAGTCATAATCTTTCATTTAATGTCAATCAATTTCACAGCAACCAGCAACCATGTTCCTCGTGGAGCATTACAACAAATTCAGGCAGGAACTCAGCAGAAAAAATAAATGCATTATTACAATCAAAGGTTCTGTTTCAGTGGAAATGTGCCACACACAGAGCCCCACTCCTAGACCAAACTGCACCCTGCACTGTAAGCAACCATCTAACCCTAAAGCAGGGCCACTGCAACACACAGCCCCCTCCACAGAGCTCAGTACCACGTGGCAACACACACTCCAGGGGCACGGCCCACAGCAGGCAGGAAGAAGGCAAATCACACCGAGCAGAGCAGCAAACATGAGCCCGCCTTTCCCACATGGTGGGAAGTGCCTCCGTCGGAAAACAGTCTTCACTGAGGAGAATTTTTTTTTTTTTTTTTAAAGTTTATTTATTTATTTATTTATTTATGTGTGTGGCCAGTTCAGTCCACCAGGGGGTGGGGCTGGCTGGCATGTGGTGCTGGGGGATTGAACCATGGTCCCTGTGCTTTTTTGTGAAGCTTGTTCTAAGTAGGTGCTTTAGACCACTGAGCCATCTCACCAGCCCCGAGAATTTTTTTTAAAAGAATGAATTTGCTACTTTTTAAGTTAGGGGAAACACAAGGAACATCATATTCACTTATTACAAGATAAAATACAAAAGCCTAATGCCTAGGCCTAGATAGGAATATACTAATACTCTATCACAATTATCAGTTCTTGGTATTTCCTAAATGGGCTATATAGCTAAAAATTCAAATCAAATCCGGGTCATCCATCTTTTCATAGTAGTGTCAATTAATGTGAAAAATAAAATGAATTAGCACACAGAATTAACACAGCATATATTTAATAATCATAATTTTGAATATTTGAATCTATTAAGGATGGTTCATTTCACTGACATTTAGAATAAAACAATGTTACTGAGCACTCTTAAAATGTCAGTTTTAAATTTCGGCATGATTAAGGTGTTTATTAATCACATAAGGCTATTTCTTAATATATACATATATATATTTATTATATACAAACAGTGGAATACTATTCAACCATAAAAAGGAACAAAATTCTGTCATTTGTGACAAGGCAGATGAAACAGGAATGTCGTGTTAAAATCAAGTAAAGTATGCCTGACACCAGAAAACAAGTATTGTGTAAGCTCTTCCATGTGTGCAATCTACAAAACATGGGTGGTGCCAGAAGCTGGGGCAGTGAAGGGTGGGAAGGAGGTGCTGGTCCATGGGTCCAGTTACAGGGAGCCAGAGGAATGTAAAATGAAGGATGGCCTGGGGTGTGTGTGGGGGAGAACAGGCAGGCGGAGGCTGCCCAGCGGAGGAGGCTGCCCAGCGGAGGTCAGGATCCGGCGGACTCCTGTGACACCTGCCAAGTCACACAGCTGTGAGCCTGCACTCAGTGTTCATGCTGGCACAGGGTAACGGGCAAACTACACAACAGGTGAACTATATTTCAGTAGAGCTTTTTAAAATGAGTAAAGTAAAAATGAACAAAAACGGCAGCAGCTATTTCATCTTACTCTAAACTCAGATGCAAATAGAGCCAATGAGTTAGGAAATTGAATTTCACATTTTAGTAGCGGGGTACATTTTGTTTTGTTTTACTATTCTCTGTGCTGCCTAAACTCAACTCACTTATTTTGCTTTTTTTGTTTTTAACATTTTATGTCTAATCAGATACTTTCAGTAAGGCTGCATATGGTCTTTATTATCACATCTGTGCAGTATTTGAACCAGGAAGAGAAGAATAAAGACCATCTCGTTCCAGTTTTTTAGCATCAATATCTTAATGTAGAGTTTAATTGTAAAAATGTAAATACCTATGCTAAAATTAGCTTTCCTCCCTCATATTTTCTATTGGGCTTCAAATGCTTAACAAGTTTATTCTTCATCAAATTTTTAAAAATCACCAAATATTTGTGCAAATGGCCAAGAGTTCTGAGGTCAGCAAGTATAACTCACACATTTCAGAGGAGCAAAATGACGGCCAGAAAAGAAGCCACTTGTCTAAACAGTGGTCTAGAGCTGGACCAGGTCACAGCATCTTCCCGAACCATCCACATTGGAGCTAGACCACACGCCAGGGTGGGAGAGGCACACACCAGGCCCAGTCCCGGGGCCTGCAGTACCCTCTGCCTTTTTGGGGAACACTGAAAACAACAGTCAGAACTACGGTACTATTATCCAAAAACCTATAGCACAATTAGCACATCAGAAAAAGATTTAAGGTGAATCAGACTGATTTTAAGAGTTTTTTCTTATTGTTTGTTGCCAGATAAGACTTAGAAAAACCGACAATGGTCTCCCATTTTTGCCCTTCTCTATACTGAATTTTGATGGCATCAATGTGGACAAGTACACATTCAAAAGTAGCCTCCCCTCCTCCGGTCCTGTCAGCCTGTCTCAGAGTTGGCAGCCACCTGGTGGAGCTGTAATACGTAAGTTTTTATGAGAGAAACACGAGGTGATTACTTGCCAGGTCTGTTATCACACTTGGTTTCACAGTATAAAATAGTTAATTTGAAGTGCTTTCACACAGGAGCTGCGATGCTGACCCATTCCCCGCAGCATCTAACCTTCCCCCCAGCTGCACGGCCAAGTAGAGCACCACCGGCCAAAGACAGGGACAAAAACCCCTTTTCTCACTCACAAGAAACTGTTCTTATGTGGAACGTCAATTCTCCTATTTATCTTTTCACTTCCTAGTGAATTTATTTCTCTTACCACCTCACAGGGACGTTATTAAAAGGAAAGACTGAAGAGATCTGAATCCAAAGCAGCTTTCAGTTCACTGGCCCAGTGGGTGGCCCACCTCCTCCAAGCAGCCCACCTGCCCTCAGGCTCTCTCCCAGAGGTGATGTCAATTAAAGAGGAGGCAGCTTGAGGGGCCAGAATCAACAGGAGGTTACCAGTTTTCTTTTAGCATGAATTAGGAAATAGACTGAAGTTCAAGGCTGGTTCTCCAGACCACACAAATGTCCACCTTTAGACGCCCCCCCCCCCCATTTTAGGAGACAGGGTCTCACTATGCAGTTCAGGCTGATCTTGAACTCACTAAACAGCTGAGACTGGCCTCAAACTTGGGGCATCAATCCTCTTGTCTCAGTCTCCTGAGTGCTGGGATTGCAGGGGTGTACCACCCTGACAAATCCCCATTTTTCATACACACATGGTGTAGACAGATCCAT